TAAAAAAGACAGTATGCTAAGCCTACAACCCAGGTGGGCCTATTGGTGGGAGGAGATGCATGGAAAGCTGTAGGAAGAACAATTACAATTACAATCAGCTTTTGGTGGCAATATTCAGGAAACGTTCCCTGTATTTCTATTTACTGTCCATTCACTGCTATTCTGATTTGCCACCAGCATTCAGCCCCCCCCCCCCCACCTTGATGCAGCTGTTTGTTCTTAGCAGAGGGTCGGAGAAAGGAAAGGAAGATGATTGTGCCTAATGAAAATTTCCAGGCTGAATAGACAGTTTCAAAGCACATTAATTCCATATGATTCTGTCTCCGTGGGGGATGCTTATTATTGGAATATCTCATATCAGCTCTTGCATCTAAGAAATCTACTGCACACATCCATGCTTAAGGAAGCCTTTAAAAAACAAGATAGAAGTAGGGAGGACTAATAATTCAGACATCACACGTCTTGACAGTAGGAGGCCTAGGACTCCCTGGTCAGCTTATTCTTTTGGTGTTTTTAGTATTCAGAGTGCTTTATGATTGAAATTGCATTTCCAATAAGCTGGTGAAAAATGTCATAGACTGGGCCAAAGACATCTGGGGATTTGAAGGGCCAAGCAGAGATCTAGACATGGCTGAGCATCTCAAGTCACTATCCAGCATTCAGCCGCTTCTAATAGTACCTTCAGGGTTTCAATTCTAACCGTGTCACTTGAGAACCAAGGCACTGATCAAAAGTGATCCAATGAAAGCATGAAAAAATGGGCTACAGCAATGACTGAACATCACACAAGTGTAGTGCAAAAGACAGGCAGGCCTGAAATAACATTGCACAGGGTTATAACTTCTCACTTTCCTGACCTCTGGTAAGAAAGTAAACAATCTAATATTGATCTCTAACTTAACCCTTTCATCACCATAAATCCAATGTACAAGCAATCAAAGTGTTTGCTCGAGGCAGAAATGTCTTTTGGAAAAGTAATGATAGTAGTATAAAAAATCACAACATAGCCCCCTTTCTTTCTGAGCAGAATGTATTCTTCAGAGGTGATGTTTGAGCATTCACCTTTAGGCTTGCTTCAGAAGGAGTTCATGAACCCATTCTCTTGTGTCTGAAATGGAAATGACTCTGGGTGGTATAGAAGCAAGCATCAGATGTCCCAGTAGGCGTTAGACTGTAGGCATTAGAAGCTCCATTCAAGGAAAGCAAAGGAAGACTTCTAAAATGTTAGTGAAATATTTTGACCTCTGTAAAACATTTGTTTTTATTAAGATATTGTTTTGTTTTTCTTCTCTAAATCATTTATTTGTAGCCCAAAACCTTTCAGTGAACTCAGAATGGTATATGTGGCTTTCTCACTTGCCTCCACTTTATCCATATCCACTTTATCCCTTAAAAGTTGAGAAGAAGTGACTGATCCAAGCTCATCCCATCAGTTTCTTAATTCAGAGTATACTCCAAAACTTTGGTCCACACTTCAATTACTACATCACAAAATATCTTTTATGTATAACTAGGGAGGTTATTCATTGTTGCCAAGGTCAATGTTGATAATATTGGTTGTGATCTGAGCGAAGCAAAAGTCTGTGTAATTGCACTTAGAATTTGTACTATTTGTTCCATAGCAAGTTCCATGAAAAATTGATCAGAAGAGCAATCCCACCAAAACACACACATGGAAAAAGACAATAACATTTGCCCCTAAACATGGAAGAAAAGTAAAAGTCAGCTTTCTTCAAAGTTGGTTCCTAAATGTAGTACATGCAAGTATTTACCACATTTTGTCTCCCTCCTGGGTCATTTTGCTGGGGAATTGACCTAGAAGTGTCACTACATATTGGAATAAGAGGATTCTTTTGATTACATTGCAATCCAAAAGGGGCCCTAAAACATGGAGAAATGTCCCCTTGGGCATTTTAAGGGGAGCTGAGGGGCATGAAGATCTCAAAAATAAGTTTAGGTGCCTCTGTGTAGTTTTTTATGTCATTAGATAATACATCAATTAGTCTCCATAAACAATTATGCAGATTTGTATAGCATAACAAATCAAAAGAAAGTCTATTCTGATTATAATAAAAAGGCTTGCATCAATTTCATCTTGCACCCTAGAGAATAGTCATTATTTATTTTAGTTTAGATGAGCATATCCTAGTTGTACACTTCTCAAAGCAATTTCCAAGAAGATGCAATAATACTGTCTCCCCATCCTTTCACACAAAGCATACTCTTACTCCCAATCTAGCAGCCTTTTGTAATCTGTTTAATGAACAGGGCTAGATTATGTATAGTCCCAAACCAGTTTGTTGTTGCAACAGAGTGTTCTTCCCAGCAGGGAAGAAGAATAGATGTTTTCTCTGTGTTTTCCCCACTGAACAAGGCTTTGTCAGTCATTCTTTTTGTTCTAAAGAGAGGCAGAAATTGAATCCTATTGAAGACAGTGGGTTCCCTGGCCAATAATTTACCCCAGAATGTGGTAGGGCCAGCTATACCATTAGGCAGAATTGTCTGCCTCAGGCTCCAGATTGTGCATCATATGAAAGACCAAATGACTGGTTGTTTGGTTTAGTTTTACTGCCAGAAAGTGGGAGATAAGTGCTTAAAGTGTGGTGCTAAAATAACATGCCTGTCTTTGAGAAGGAGAGGGTATCTCCAATGTCTGCTTCAGGCAACAAAATTTCTTGGGACAGTCCTGGAAATATATTTATCTTCATCTGTATAGTCCTAGTCCATAGTATCGACTTTGTTGTTGCGTTACTTCATGCCAGCTCCAACCTACAGAAACCCTATGTTAGGGTGTTCTTGCCAAGATTTTTTCTAAGGAAATTTACTGTTGCCCTAAGAATGGATGCAATTTGTCCAAGGGTTTGTGTATGTGTGTGTCAGGAGCAACTTGAGAAATTGCATGTTGCTTTTGGTGTGAGAGAATTGGCCGTCTGCAAGGATGTTGCCCAGGGGATGCCCGGATGTTTTTGATGTTTTACCATCCTTGTGGGAGGCTTCTCTCATGTCCCCACATGGGGAGCCGGAACTGACAGAGGGAGCTCATCCATGCTCTCCCCAAATTCGAACCTCCGACCTGTCAGCCTTTAGTCCTGCTGGCTCAAGAGTTTAGTCCAGAGGTCCTCAACCTTTTTAAATAGAGGGCCAGGTCACAGTCCTTCGGGCTGGATTATAATTTGAAAAAAAATGAATGAATTCCTATGCACACTGTACATATCTTATTTGTAGTGCAAAAAAACACTTTAAAACAATACAATAATTAAAATGAAGAACAATCTTAACAAATATAAACGTATTAGTATTTCAATGGGAATTGTGGACCTGCTTTTGGCTGATGAGCTAGGATTGTTGTTGTTGTTGTTGTTGTTGTTGTTGTTGTTGTTGTTGTGTGCTTTCAAGTCCTTTCAGACTTAAGTTGACCCTGAATGAGGGCTGGATAAATGACCTTGGAGGGCCGTATCCGCCCCCCGGGCCTTAGCTTGAGGACCCCTGGTTTAGTCCATTGCACCACTAGGGGCTCCTTACTTGTCCAAGGTCACCCAATGGATTTCCATATCTCATGGGGATTTGATCCCTCATGTCATGAAACCACTCCACCACACTGGTTTTCAGTCTTGAGTTACCTTAGATTTGAAGTTGATTTCACCAATCACAGTAATAAGTGAGAAGACATATATGAAGTACTCAATACTATGTAATAGACCCTTTTTGTACTGTACTCATATCTCAGATAATGAAATTCAACAAAATTTCATGGGTAGGTTCTTCTCTTTATCTTTCCCCTTGTGGGATGTCTGTCTTGTACAGCAAAGTCCAGGCATTTCGAAGAAATGTAAAGCTGTGAGACAAAGACTGTATAGGGAATTAGAAAGAAAAAAAGAGCAGCTTTTCTTAAACTGAAGCCTGCAAGCTCTATATGCGCAAGGATGACCTGAACCAAAAGCTTCTTATTCAGTGTATGAATTGATGTCCTGCAATTGAATTTTAGAAAGTGAATTTTCCTCCTTGCCCTTTAGTTTAATATTACAATAGCCCGGGGATGTGCATTGGTCAACAGCAACATTCATTTGTCAGAGGTGGTAGAGGACATGGCATTGAAGTTCTTTCTGGTGCAAATTGCTTTAGGGTTGTCAAAATGAAACTTGGAAGGGCCTCCTATATGTCCTTTTTAGTTTTCACTCTGGCAACCCTAAGTGTGCCTGCAAATCCAACTCTTTGTGATGGTATAATTTTCTTAGGAAGCATCAGTATTACCACTGTTTTCCTTCATGTCCTAGCTATGGAACCTATACACTTATCAAGGAGGATAATTTATTATTTACTGTATTTATATACCGCCTTTCTTACCTCGGGGGGGGGGACTCAAGGTGGTTTACAACATAATCTCACTTTCATAGCTTCCTTTAAAATCAGAGTAGTGTGGTGAGAGTGTGGATGCAGCCAACCTAGTGATGGCGCAGACACGTACATCAACTCTAGTTCAAGATGTTCATTGAAGAAACATGTAGAAAGAGACTCAGAAATATTCATTTGGTTTTATAATAAAAACAAAGAAAATAATAGCTACCTAAACCTATCCAAGAAAAAAAATGATTGAAGTCACTTTCAGTTATGCCTTATTGATATGACTTCTTGGCCGATGGTTTCCTTGACTGGATGAAGACAAAGAAGAGTCTTATTCACAGGCACAGATATACCACAGAGGGAAAATTGAACACCAATCAGCAGTCTTGGATGACTTTTTCTGCTTTCTTTGTTAAAAAAACGTTAGTTCTTAGTGTACTTATTTTTTAAAAAACATAATAATTATTGGAGGACCTGGTCATGAATGAGTGTTAGAAAAGTCAATAAAGGCATGGATGTGTGAAATTGGATTTGTAAGGATAAGGCATACCTGTGTTTGGAGAACTGAGGAGGGGGCTTTGTACACTGCATTAAAAGATATAAACAGAAGGTGTTTTTCTCTCTCTCAGAAGTCTTGTCATTTTGTCATTTCTTCTTAGTGGCCAGCCAATTCCTAGGTTGGACTATACCCCAGAAGAAATAAAAACATGGGGCGTTGTGTTCAGGGAACTTACTAAACTCTACCCAACTCATGCATGTCGAGAGTACTTGAAAAACTTCCCTTTGCTGACAAAGCATTGTGGCTACAGAGAGGATAATGTCCCTCAACTGGAGGATGTTGCTATGTTTCTTAAAGGTAAACAATACTTTTTGATTACTAATGAGCAAAGTGCGATAAAAATGTTCAATCACAGCTTGGTCCATACATAATTTTCATTAATAGTAGAATGCATGCTGATTTCAGGAAAAAAAATGTGCAACATCTCTGAGCCCACTGGCATATGGAGGTTCCATTGCTGCCACTGAAACTGTTCATGTATCATCAGGATTTCATGTAGTCTTTTGCATGTACATTTTGACCCCTGCTTTTGTGCAGGATACATTCTTGTACTTACCGTGAAAACAGGAAACAAAGTATAACAGTGAACCCTGTTGAAATTAATGACTTCTGCTGGAAGTTACCACAGCTTTGCCATGGAGAAGCTGCAACTTTCCTAGTGAACGATTCTGACTAGGAATTTGTTACCATTACCACTTGACTTTATGATAACTAACTTCCAGAAGTCACTTCTTCCTGCCCTAAAAGTCATTTGGAGGCTGTGCCATCGAAGGCTTTCATGACTGGAATCACCGGGTTGCTGTGAGTTTTCTGAGCTGTATAGCCATGTTCCAGAAGCATTCTCTCATGACGTTTCACCCACATCTATGACAGGCACCCGCAGAGGTTGTGAGGTCTGTTGGAAACTAGGCAAGTGAGGTGTATATATCTGTGGAATGTCCAGGGTGGGAGAAAGAACTCTTGTCTGTTTGAGGCAGGTGGGAATGTTGCAATTGGCCACCTTGATTAGCATTTAATTAGCATCTGGAGATCATTTTTGACTGCTGGGACCACAAAAAATGACTCTGGGAACTTTATGCAGCTCATGGGTTATGTTGTGTGCACCCTTGATACATGTGAATGGTTGTATAGGCAAAGAGATAGCCACCTTGAGTTCCCTGGATAGCGAAAGGCGGGGTATAAATAATATAAATAAATAAATAAATAAGATCCCATTTGTTATTTGATGCCCATGGAAACTTTCTCTGTTCAAACGACATCAAAAGCCACAAAGAGAGGGGGAAAAACAAAAGAGCTGCTACTTCATAAAGTATCTTGTTTGCTACAGAATGTGAATGGCCTGACTGTGACAAATTAAAGTATTCTACCACCATGCCAGATGATAGGAACTAACAAGCTAAAAGAAGTTAATAATTGATTAATTTATCAATTAATTTGGGGATTGTGTATGAAAAAGGGAATTATTATTATTATTTATGTTTATTTATACCCCACTTTATCTCTCCCAAAAGATACTCAAAGCAGCTTACATTAAAAGTATTACCACCAAATTTAAAATTCAGTTAAAATCCATTAAAATGTTTATTACATTATTTTTAAATTAAAGTTGTTGAGTTAAGATGAAATTTCAGCATGAATATCATTCCAGAATTCAGTCAACCAATTGATGAATTAGATGAGAGAACTTGCCAAATAAAATAAATAAATGTTATATATCCCACCTTTATAACCCACCTTTTCTCTCTCTTGGATTTTTACAAAACTATTTCTGGCTTTTTCTTGGTCTCTCAGGTTTTTGGAATTCCAGTGGGATTAATTGTATTATGGAAAACTGTTCAATTTCTAAAAAACAATATAGAATTCATATTCACGAAACCTTGACATTTCTTTATATCTGTAAAAACACAAGAACGACATAAATGTAGAGATAGTAAGGAGACGAAATTGTAAGGGAAGCAGAAAGGGAAAGTGGGTTTGATGACAAATTGGGTTTTCAAACATTCAGACAGCCCCCTCTTCTCTCTGTAGCTCAAAACATAGAAGGATCTTCTTTTTCAGTTTCACTAAGGCTCTTTGTGCAGGCATTCCATTTAAATTTAAACAGCAATTTATACAAAATGGGAATGTTAATTTTCTCCTTCCAAAGTCAATCTAACTGAATTAAACGTTTAGCTTATTAATAATTAAGTAAACCAACCAACTCCTTTCTGCTATTTTTTTTAAAATTTGAGCCATTTCAGAACTATTGCAGCTGAACTTATGAACCGGTGTCATGTTGATGACTTTGGCTCTCAGACGTCACAAATCAGCATCCCCCTCATTTAGCATGCAGATGCTTTTAGTAAATGTTATGTCTGAATGCACATCTTGTAATTATAGAAAAACAGTTTAATAGGCCACTTTAATCTCCCCTGGAAATGTAAAATAATTGTCCCATACCATTCACACTTTACATATAACAAGGCTAAAGTGCTTCCAAGTGTCACAAAAGTGGCTCCGACCCGCTTCATCTTCAGCAAGGCTAAGATAATGGGTTTTTATTTTAAAAACATACTGAATATTCAACTCTTTATACTGAATAAACAGAAATAAGCAGACCAGTTCTGTGTGCCAAAAAACAAAGCATCATAAACAGCCTCCTGGAATTTCAACAGTTTTTCTTTTGGGAGAATATCTTTGCCGTGCAGTGGGAATTATGCACATGTGTCCATTACAATGTGTTTTCTGACTGTGTCTGGACCCATTTCAATAAAAAATAAGCAGATAACAGTCATGGTATCCATCTTTTGTAGGATTTTGCCATATCTCTTCTTCATTTTATTTTGTTCTTCTTAGGAGAGAAATTTCATACGTCCTTGGGAATAAGGCTTTCAGCCTAAGGTTCCGTGTACTGGATTATACGAGACCTTGAGCAGAATGTACAGGGATAACATAAGAGCTTCAGATTACTATTGTGGCTTGGAGGTGATTGCTTAAGTCCTTGTTAATCCTGTGTTGTCCCACTTTCTCAGCTGCTTTTGAAATGTCTCAGTTTCTTCTCTCTCCTCATCTCACTTCAATTGCTGCAAATCCCACTGTTGAACAGTTCTTACCATCAGGAAATTCTCCCTAATGTCCAGGTGGAATCTGTTTTCCTGCGGTTTGAATCCATTGTTCCATGTTTTGATCTCTGGATTAGCAGAAACCAAGCTTGCTTCATCATCAATATGACATCCTTTTAAATGTTGAAATAGTACTATCATATCACCTCTTAATCTTCTCTTCAGGCTAAACATACCCATCTCCCTGAGCTGCTCCTCATAGGACTTGGCTTCCAGACCTTTTAACTTTTTGGCTGCCCTCCCATGGACATGTTCCAGCTTGTCAATATGTTTCATGAACTGTGGTGCCCAGGACAGAGCCCAGTGGCTGGCTGGGAGCAGCAGCAGTGCCAGTAACATGGGGATGAAGCCATTTTTTTTTAGCACAGAGAAAGGATGATATTGGCAGTGACTGTCTGGACAGAAGACTGGGCCAAATTGAATATGATTCAGCTGTCTATACTGCAGCTAAGTCCAGGATTCTCCAGAGTTTCCAGCACACTTCAGTGTGTCTCTTGTCTTGTCTAAGGTGGGGCAAAGTTGGATTATAGCAAACAAATAAACAAACTTGGAACATGGTCATAGAGCCTGGAAAACTCACAGCAATTCAATGATTCTGGCCATGAAAGCCTTCGACAACACAAATAAACAACCTAAGAACCCTGCTATACTCACCAGAAGTTGTGATTCCGATTTCTTGTCTACAGTCTCCATTTTGATTTATGACTGCAAAAGTGGTTGACTATTTCAGTGTCCTCATAATTCATTTTAAAGTTATGTAAATCATCCATGGTCATTCTTTTTTTAATGTTCAGATGTGATCCCGCTTTTGCACTTTTGCACTTTCTTCCATCTCATTCTCACCAATCATACTGCTTTGGTTAGACCACACCAGGAATATTGTGTCCAATTCTGGGCACGACAATTCAAAGTGGAATGTGTCCAGAAGAGGGCGACTAAAATGATTAAGGGTCTGGAGAACAAGCCCTTTGAGGAGTGGCTTAAGGAGCTGGGCATGTTTTGCCTGAAGAAGAGAAGGCTGAGAGTAGATATGATAGCCATGTATAAATATGTGAGAGGAAGTCACAGGGAGGAGGGAGCAAGCTTGTTTTCTGCTTCCCTGGAGACTAGGACATGGAACAATGGCTTCAAACTACAAGACAGGAGATTCCATCTGAACATGAGGAAGAACTTCCTGACTGTGAGAGCCGTTCAGCAGTGGAACTCTCTGCCCCGGAGTGTGGTGGAGACTCCTTCTTTGGAAGCTTTTAAACACAGGCTGGATGGCCATCTGTCAGGGGTGATTTGAATGCAATATTCCTGCTTCTTGGCAGGGGGTTGGACTGGATGGCCCATGAGGTCTCTTCCAACTCTTTAATTCTATGATTCTATGATTCTAAGTCATTGCTGCTTTCTTCTAGTAGTTTAGCATGGTCTGCACCGCTTTATATGGTTGCTGTTCCTTTTTGCTAGATAAGTAACTTAAAATTTGATTCAATTGCCAAAGGAGTAAAATTATTTCTCCTTGAGTTACAATCATACGTGCTTGAATTATGCATTAGATATTGGCAAATTAAATTAATTATACATAACAAATCATTTGTAAGTGGTTGCTTTCATTTTGCTTTTTTAAAATCATAACAAGTCCATAAGGTTACTTAAATTGAGAGTGTGATTGCTCCAAGGGCACTCAGTCAGCTCTATGGCAGAATGGAGATTTAACTCTGGGTCTTCCCAATGGTAGTTCCATTAATGTGAGCTTTTTCGGTATATGCAAATATAGTACTATGTGTCTACTTCAATTGTCACTGTTGTGTTCTATGGAATCCTTTGGGACTCCATTTATAGTTTGTAGTTGGGAAGGTACCAGAGCAGGATTCCATACACTGTTATTATGGCCGTTAAGATAGAATCATGATACTATAATTGTGTAGTGCATAGGACACCCAGCTTTCCTCAACTTGGTACATTCAGGCACATTGAACTGTCTGAGGGAGTTCGAGTATAGCTGATTTGGTGGATTCCAGGCTGAGGAACTCTATTACCATACCATCCTGGCTGTTGTATGCTTTCACTAAAAGACCATGGTTGCAAATGTAAATACAACCATGTTGAACACTACACTTATCACCATGGCTCAGTTCTATAGAATGATGGAAATTGTGATAAGCATAGTGTCCAACATGGTTGTATTTACATTTACATTATAAATGTAAATACAGCCATGTTGGAAACTACACTTAACACCATGGCTTAGTTCTATGGAATCATGGAAATTATAGTGTCATGGGACACCAGCACTTTTTGGCAGAGATCTTGCAATATCTCCATTATTCCATACCATTGAGCCATGGCAGTTAAAGTGGTGTCAAACAGAATTAATTCTAAAGCAAAGATGCATTCATGGAGTCATAGCTTTATATACTCATAGAGTTGAAAGGGGCATCACCGGCCACTGACTTCCACTTCATGCACAATGCAGGAACTCTAGCTAAGGCATTCCTAGCCGGGAACTTTACATAACTTTCCAGGGACAGCAGGTGGGTTGATTCATTTCAGTATGTTTCCTTTGTCTCTGTCCTCTATCCCAACCCTTTCCCCCTCATTTATGTTACATCTTTTGTACTGTCAACCTGAAGGCAGGAAGCACCTTCACTTTTTTAATTTTTGAAAGGTTGTTCAGGAATCCTTTTTTCTGGCTGAATAGCAACTTCAACATCCTCAGAGAAAAAAATAAATAAAACTTCATTGAAGGTGCATGTACTGCAGTCTGCAAGAACTGCTGTGGAAGCACTCTGATGGAGGCATGTTTTTAGCCAGAGATGAAGCAGATGCTAAGCCTCCTCCCCACTTATCTCTTAGTTCCAATCAAGGTGATGATTCAGGATCCTTCCTTCTTTTACCCATCCCCAGTGATTTCTTTGCTTTGTGGGCATAAGAAAGTTATTAGTGCTGCCATTTTCAGTGATTCAGAGTGCTTATATTTCTAACAACATAAAATGTTTAACATTGACCTGCCTCCCATGCTCTCCTCACCTCATGACAAGTGCTGCAAAATCACAGCAAAGTATAATCATCAGAACCTGCGGAAGACTTTTCAATTGAAAATAAAATACAGTGTACGGTCTGAAAGGCTGACCTGCCCAACTCCTACTCCTTCCTTTATTCTGCCTTTATGGCTGCCAGCACTTAACGTTAATTGGCTCGCTGCTCTTTGAGCCTGGTCATATCTTTCAAAGGTGCTTCCTGCATTGTTCTCCCAGGTCTGAAGAATGGCACTGAAGTACAATTCCTTTTTTTTCTTTCCTTGAAGGTAGAACTGTACTCTAAGGTTGAACAGTATTATTTCAATTCAAAGACAATGGTCATTTTTTTGGAAGGTGATTAAGTTTAGATCCTTTTAGGGCAAACAGTAACGCATGAGATACAAAAAGAAGTTGGGAAAGAACTGTCTCTTCAAAGTCATTGTGAATTTGGAAACAACTCTGTAGAGAGATGTCTGATGAAGGGACTCTTCCTTCAAATGAAAGATAGGTACATCTGAAGTTGGCTCATTTGTCCATGAAATTTTTATAATGAAAGTAGAGGGAAAAAAACTCCCACACATTAAGCTTAAACTTGCTATCTGGATTGTCAGCCACTGTTATCCTGAACCATGGGTGGTGTGGGGCCTTCCAGATGTTCTCCTACAATCACCATCATCTCCTGGCATTGCTAGTTGGGGTGTTGGGATCCAGAAAGATTAAGAGAGCTACAGGCCAATCACTCCTGTTATCTCCAAAACACAGGTGGGTTTGTGGCCTTCCAAATAGTTAAAAATCAAGTAAAAGTTCTACACACACCTAGTACATTAAAAAGCTCCTTCAGCACAATGAGCTAACCTCTAAAAGTTTGTCTCACAAGAAATGTCTATATCTGTTAATATTGGTAGAAGAAGAACAGCAAGGGGGCCAACCTCAGGAGCAGCTATTCAAAAGCCCCTCTCTGTGTTCTTACCAAATAGGCAGACATGGTGCAAGTGAGAGAAAGTGTTCCCTAGAGGAACTTAGAAGTCAAGAAAACTCTTGTAGAGAGATATTGTTTTCAAATACAGTACAACACCCACATAGTATCAGGACACATTCTTAGACTTTGAATGGATATGTGAAACCATGGATAACAGTGATACTGGTCCCGTGGATATGGGGGTCATATTTTAGTCAGAAGTTAAAGCAGCATAAAAGCTGAAAAGGTTTCAACTATGTCCATAAGTAGATAGATAGGTAGATAGATAGGTAACAACTAACTTAAAGCCCAAGACTTTAATCAATTCCCAGTCCGCCAAGTGTTTTAACTTCGTCTTGGAAAAAATCTGTCAGTGCCAATTAGACTTCTGAGGAAGAGAGATTTCACATATGGGGCAGAATAACAAGAGAGAGAGAGAGAGAGAGAAGAAAGAAAAAAGAAGAAGAAGCTTTCTCCCTTATCTTCTGGGAATTCATTGCTCCAACTGATTGGAGACTTATTCCCCTATCAAAGCTGTCCAAATTCCCCTATTAAGGCAGCCCTTCACTAACTCTTGCAGCAGCAGTCACCACAGTTCAACTATAAATTGTGTAATGAAGGAATTCTTGACTGTCCTGAATCTGTCACCCTTCATCTTCATTGGGTAACTCTGGGATTTAACATGATGAGAATAAAGGATCCTTATCAATTTCTCCCCATGCTCTGTACAAATGTATAGACCTTCTCATGCTTTTCTATATTCATGTGTTTTTGGGGTTGACTGCAGATTATTTTCTTATGAGGGATGGAGAAGACTACCTTCCTATTCACTGGTCTTGCTTACCAGGGGACATGGATAGTCCCTCCCAAAATAATATTTTCAAACTTTCCACAATGCATCATTTTATAACTTCGGTCATGTTTTTCCTTATTTACATTTTTGTTGGAAACATAAGAACATCTTATTCATACATTGTAGGTCTTTGATCATTTTGGCAGTCATTTTTTGCACCTTTCCCAGTTCAACAATGCAGTGACTGCATTATTCAAAGTGCTGTAGATTTATTTACGGGCAGTATGAAATTGGAAGTTATACTTTGAATTATTTTCCTAATGATTCTCAACATGGAATTTGCATTTTTCACAGTTGTTGCACATTGGTTTGATATTTTCATTGATCTAAACACTGCAATCAATTTGCCATTTCAGTACCCAGCCACCCCTATTCCAATATGATATGTGGAATTCAATATAATTTAGGATTGCTTGGTAATTGCCTTTAGATTTTATGAAGTACCCCAGGCTGTACTTTCCATAGACACATACCTGTATTTCTTCTCGCCATGTGTAAATCTAGCACAAAACTGCAACCTATCTAGGTTGTTTTTTAAAGTAGCTGAATGAGCCACAAAGCTAGCAAGACAACTTTGCTGGGTGCATATGTTAACAGTCTTATGGGAGCATAACACACAAAATGCTTTGTTCACATTTGTAAAAAGTATAACATTTGCATTGACCTTGAAAATATGCCTTTAGGTTGATGCTGTACATAAAACAGGAAGATTGTTCTGATATTTGTACAATGACCTTGGCATTTTTCAGCTTACTAAATTATCTCCCTCATTTCCTTACTTTTATTTTGCTAAGAAGTGCATGCCTGGTTCAAATAATTCTGATCCTCTGAAACAAAAATTCTGGTTAGTATCCTTTACATTTTCTACTGACTGGCATATATACTTAAATAACTCCGATCTCTCTACCATTTTAGAAAGGTCTGGCTTTACAGTCAGACCAGTTGCTGGATATTTGTCACCTCGGGATTTCTTAGCAGGCCTTGCTTATCGGGTTTTCCACTGTACCCAGTACATACGCCACGGCTCCGACCCCCTCTACACTCCTGAACCGTGAGTATTGTTTGTCAAACTTTGCATTTGTAAGCTCCCTTTCTTCCAAGGTACTCAGAGTGACATACATGGTCTGCCTCTTTAGCTTTTGAAACCTCATCCTCTATCTCTTAGATCAGTGGTTCTCAACCTTTGGTCCTCCAGTTGGTTTTGGACTTCAGCTCCCATAAATCCCAGTCAGTTTACCAGCTGTTAGGAACTGTGGGAACTGAATTCCTGGAGGACCAAAGGACCAAATCTTCGACTGAAGATTTGAGGTGAGTTAATTCTGGACTCAGTCCGGGGTTACCTTTATCAACTTCTGGTCACCAAACTTACTTAATTTTTTTGTAATATCTAGATTTGTGCATAAATATTGATAACATATCTTGGGACCTAATTCTAAACATCTAATTCATTTATGTTTCATATATACCATCCACACATAGCCTGGAGGTTTCTATACAATATTTTTAACAATTTTATGCATTAAGCACATTGAACTATAAGAAAGCAAAAGTGCAATTATCTCAGCTGCCAATATGGACAATTTTGGATTTGGAAGTCTTTTGGGTGTCCAAATAATGGATGCTCAAACTGTTCATTCCCCTCAAAGAGAAACATAGACACAGCAACATTTGAGCACTGCAAATGTTATATTTGAAGGCATCATATAGTGATCAAGATGTTCATCAGGACTTAACCCATTATTCATGACAAAATCCCATCTTACGTATTGCCTTCAAGATTTAATCCCCTTAGCCAATTCTTGAATAAATCTTAACCCTATTAATAGCATATTAGATATAGGATAGGTGACACCTATATGAAAACATTACATTTGAAAAGGATTTAGGGGTTTTAGTAGACCACAAGCTGAACATGAGTCAACAGTGTGCTGCAGTTGCTTTAAAAAGCCAATGCTAAAAAGCTAGGCTGCAACAATAGGAGTATAGGATCTACGTCAAAGAAAGTCACAACACTACTCTATCCAGATTTGGTCAGACCTCACCTGGAATACTGTGTCCAGTTCTGGGCACCACAATTCAAGAAATATATTGACAAGCTGGAAACTATCCAGAGAAGGGCAACCAAAATGATCAAAGGTTTGGAACTCAAGCCTTAGGAGTAGCAACTTGGGGAGCTGGGTATGTTTAGTTTGGAAAAGAGAAGGCTGAGGATACATGTTGTTGTTGTTGTTGTTGTTGTTGTTATTGTTTACTTTATTTATACCCCGCCTTTTTCCCTGAGGGGACTCAAGGAGGCTAACGGCCACACACTTTGATAAATTTAAAACAAAGCAAATACAAGAATTTTAAAAAAAAATCAGCCCTACATTTCTGCTGCATGCAGAATTCTGGAAAATGTAGTTTGGGGAGGTGAGGACCTCTGTAGCTGAGAATTCAAAAGGCCCCTGAAAAGGCCCTCTCTCGTCTTTCCACCAAACACACTTCAGTTGGGGTGGGACAGAGAGAAGGCCCTCCCCAGTTGATTGTAAATGTCTACTAGGTTCATAGAAAGAGATATGGTTCTTCAGATAAACTAGACTGGATATGTATAGGACTTTGTAGGTCAAAACTAGCACTTTGAATTGTGCCTGGAAACATGCTGGCAGCCAGTGGAGCTGCAACAGAAGATTTGTCCACTTCCTGTAGCCAGCCTCAGTTAGCTGTCTGGGGGCTGTTCCTTGAACCCACTGAAGTTTCTGAGCACTTTCAAAGGCAGAGCACATTGCAGTAGTCCAACTGGGATATGACCAAACTATGTACCACTGTTGGCGCACTAGTTTAACTGTGCAAAAGTGCTCCTTTCTGCTTTCTGATATCTGGGTTTCCAGATTCAGAGCTGAAACCAGAAGTACCCTCAAACTGGGGGAGTGTAACTCCATCTAACATAGACTGACTCCCTATTCTCAGATCTATCTTTTGACTGACCAGGAACAGCTCTGTCCTGTCTGAATTAAACTTCAATTTGTTTGCCCTCACTCAGTCCATTACAGCCGCCAGGTACTGGTTTAGCATAGGAACCACTTCCGTAGAATTAGGTGGAAAAGAATAATAGAGCTGAGTGTCATCTGCATATGGATGGCACCACTCCAAAACTCCAGATGACCTCTCTCAGTGGCTTTATGTATATGTTGAACAGCATGGGGACAACACGGAGCCCTGAGGGACCCCACAGGCCAGTGACTAAGTAGTCAAACAGGAGACCCCCAACTTCTGAGCATGGCCCCCCAGGAAGGAACAGACCCACTGAAGAACAGTGCCTCCAAGCCACATCCCAGAAAGGTGACTCAGAAAGATACCATGATTGATGGTATCAAAAGCTGATGAAAGGTCCAGGAGAACCAACATGATATCATGGTTAAATATTTGAAAGGTCATATTGAGGAGGGTGCAAGCTTGTTTTCTGATGCTCTAAAGCAGGCATGGGCAAACGTTGGTCCTCCAGGTATTTTGGACTTCAACTCCCACAATTCCTAACAGCAGAATGCTGTTAGGAATTGTGGGAGTTGAAGTCCAAAACACCTGGAGGGCGAAAGTTTGTCTCTGCCTGCTCTAAAGAATAGGACACAGAGCAATGGATTCCAGCTGCATGAAAAGAAATTCCACTTAAAACAACTTCCTGATAGGAGTAACTGTTCGACAGTGGAATATGCTGCCTCAGAGCGTAAGGGAATCTCCTTGTTTGGGGGATTTAAGCAGAGGCTGGATATCTTTTGGGAGTGCTTTGATTGTGTATTCCTACATGGCAGAATGGATTTTGACCGGATGGCTCTTGGGGTCTCTTCCAGTTCCATGATTCTATGTTTCAATGTAGGCCTTACCATTATAAACCAGCATTTTAGGGTAGCACGTCCAAGCCATCAGAAATGCTCTTTCACTGTTTATTTGATGTCTGGCATATTGTCAAAGATGCTGCAGGATTCCTTCATCTCTTTTGTTGTTCAGTGCTTCCAAGTTGTTTCCAACTTAGGTCAACCTTGAGGCAAAACTATCACAGGGTTTTCTTGACAAGATTTGTTCAGATGGAGGAGTTGTCTTTTTCTGCAGCTGAGAGAGTCTAGTTCACCCAAAGGGTTTCATGGCTGAACTGGGATTTGGATCCTGGTCTCCAACATCCAAGCCACTATGGTATACTGTCCCCCCCCCCCCAGGGGAGAAATGTCCATAAAACTAAGCTAAAGATTTAAAAATTCTTGCATAGAGGGAGGGAAAGGAATAGCTGTGAGGCACCTGCCCTTTATACCTTGGCTTCTTTTCTATACAGTAGCTAAAGGTAGAAAGCAACAGGAAAGGTGATCAAATCTCAGGGAAGCTGGACATTCACAAAACACAAAAGGTTGGCAAACTCCATCTTTTTCCGAAGGAAAGGTCTAGGCCTGCTGTGATAGCTGATCAATTATTAAATAAGATTGCTCGAGCATGTTGCTATCTGGCTTTTATCTGTGCAGCAGAAAGTGCCTCACAAGTGCCACTTTGTGCAATATAACCCTAACCCTACTGCTTGGAAGGCATCTTTTCTGAAAACAAGCAGGCAGGGGATTACATTTGGAAACTACATTATCCTGAGGTTACATCTGAAGCCAGTATCTTGTTCTGACAATGGTTGCTGTCTGGCTGTTTTGTATAATGATTGCTGCTATGTGTTTTTGCACTACGTATGCCACTTGCATTTTAAGATCAGGTAATTTGTTGTGCTTCATGCATATTGCATTTTGACTTTTAAAATGTATTTGACTGCACATCACAAGCACGCCATTGTTTGCCTGGCGCACAGAGCAAGAGAATTTAGGGTATTGTTTAGTATGGAAGATGGAGTAATGAGCACCACTGTAGGAGGTAAAGATGCAGGAAGTTAGCAAATGACCTCTTCTGGTCATCCTCTCCTTCTCAGCACTTGGACTGCCATACTAGCTACTACCCCTTCTGGGAGTGCTACTACTGAATGCCAGTCCAGTCCATCTTAAAAATATTATGTACCCATAATTTGATCATAGAAAAAAGAAACTTCCCTGATGTGTGTAACTGTGGGCTTCTCAAACTTCACAAGTGTTCCGATAGTTCTGATAAATGTTATAGTATTGCATTTCAGAATTTCATACCTTGAAATTATTTTTACTACACCTGTATTCCATTGTGCCTTACGCATAACAGCTTTCCGGCTTTTGTTTCTTTCAGGTTGTAGTAAATTTAATTGCTACCCTCGATTTGCACATCACTTCCTCCACACTTAAAGTGTGGATAAGCTGTCGTGTGGGTGGATTTTCTTCCATTTCCACCTTCCTTGCCATGAATGCAACATTTCCTCCTATATACTCTTCCTTCAGTATACACATTCTCAGCTTTGGGCATCATTTTTATTTTCTATTCTAATTTTCTATTTTAAAAGGGTTCTTTTTTATAAACATAGTGCTAAAGTGATACCAGGATTTCCCACTTTTGCACAAAATAGCTAAAAAGAAGGGGTGGTCTTTTCATCTGGTAACTAGAAAATAACCATGTTCCCTCTCTCACATTATATCTTTTTAATTTTATTTCTTTTTTTAAAAAAAACAGAAGATGTTTTCTTTTATAGTCATAGCACTGAGGTGTTAGACTATACCTTTGCAGCATTATAACTCTGAAAAGGAACAAAGAGAAACTCCAAAAATATAATGAGAGGATGCTGGTTAGTGAGAAACTCGTTTTGAAGTTTCCACCGCAGATAACAACTGGAGAGAGCACCCAATACAATTCACAGGAAAAAAAAGACCTGTCTCAAAGTACTAAACATATATTTTGTTATCAAGAATGGCCAATGTTTCAGCCAATTCAGGTTGAGTCTCCCTTATCCAAAATGCCGGGGACCAGATGTGTTTCAATTTTTCAACTTTGGAATACCTATATTTGCATATACATAGTGAGTGAGGGCTAGGGGGAAAGTGGGCTAGTCATAAACTCACAGAATCACTGTTTTTACTTTCCTGGATGTATGACAAGCTCTCTTTCCCTTAAAGGCACAAGTGGACAGCTGATAGCAAAGAGTTTCAGTTTTTTTAAAGATTTCAGATTCTCAGAAAAGGGAGTTTCAATCACTATACAGTTTTGTGGCCTTTATATTAAAAATATCAACATTAAAACTTTGCAGAATTATATGATTAAAAACACATAACATTACATAAGAAAAGTCATTTTAATCTTTGTATTCTGCCTAGGACCTGTACATACTGATTTGAAACCTAACTGCAAATGTTGAAGCTTATACTCCACTGGAAAGGTCATCCATGGGATCACCCAAAAACACAGCAAGAAGAATAGTAGCAATGCATAAAGCAGGTGTTCTCAAACTTTTTCAGCCACTGAGCACTTTTTGAAGTCAAAGTTTCTCATGGAGTTCCAAGAGATGTTTATATATTATATTATAGGCATGGGCAAACATTTTGCCAAATTGTGTTTTAAAATTTGACAGATGGGCTGGGCCAGTGGCAAATTAATGGAGAGTGTTCGTGTGAACTAACTGAAAAAAAAATGAAAAAATTCCTATGTACACTGCGCAAATATTGTTTGTTGTGTTAAAAAAGGAGAGAAAGAAAGAAATACAATACAATATTTAAAATTAAGAAGAATTTTAACCAACATAAACATAACAGTATTTAACTGGAAGACCCCAGTGGCCATGCAATCCAACTTCTTCTGTCACAATCAAAGCACTCCCTGAGCGGTGGGAGGGAAGGAGGATTTTGGAAGAAAGAAAGGCAAAGGCAAAATGATCTGGGTGCTGAGGAAGGTGAGGGAAAAAGACTTTCGATTGCAAGGGAGGGGCAAAAAAGGCTTTTTGCAGTGAGGGAGGCAAGGGAAGTGGGAGAAGCAAGAAAGAGCGAGGAGGAGGAGGAAAGCATGGACCACTCAGTATGCGTCACAGAGTCCCAAGGGCTCCGGAGCACAATTTGAGAACCACTGGCATGTAGACATATGGCATTCATACTGCTCTGTATTGGAAATATCTGGGATGGGGGGCATTCCTGTCAGTGAATATAAAAACTTGTAACTAGTGCTGGAATGACAGGATAAAAGAAACAATATAGGGAAAATGTCACACACACACACATACCCTGATGCCTACAGCTCTAAATGCAGTGGAGGAGCTCACAGACAGGTATTGTCTGGTTTTGGTTCCCTAGGTACATGCTGTAGCAGAAATACTAGTTGTAGAGAATTTGTGTCTTTCTGTCACCTTTAAGAGTTCCTTCTTTCTGGCTAGCAAACCAGTTTACCTAGCAGAAGGGTGCAAGACGTTGCATCTGGCAGTGTTCTTTACTCGTTGTTTTACCCACTCTGCTGCCAAAAAGTCTATTTGGCAGAAGCAATTTCCAGTGCACTGGAGAATTCCATAAGTTCTAGTGGTGTCAAACTGTATTAATTCTTCTGTGCAGACACATCCTTCTTCTCCACTCTAGTTTGCCTCCCAGCAGATGTTAATGGGTGGTGATGGTAGGAGTTTACAAATTTGCTTTATTTTTATTTCTTCCATGAAAAAGTAGCATCTTTTCTTAGATTCCAGGAACTGGTTCTGCCACCAAAGTAGTCAGCTTTCAGTATTGCTTTGCTGCTATTGAAGAGAAAGATTACTATATCAAGTCAAGTTCTAAAATCAATCAAATGAAGTAATCCGGTTTCCTCAACAATATTTTTACACATTTTTGAGAAAAAAAAACTTAATCCTGAATAGAAGGGGATATTGTTACGTGGTGGATCTTGAAGCATGAACCTGTCACTTACAGTGCAGGGAAACTGAGATTATTGTTCACCTAGCAACGGGGTTGACCATATCCATAACAGTGAGGTCATTTTCATGAAGTGTAAGGTTGTAGCTGAGAATTGAAAAGGGATGCTGAGTCTTTAAGGCTTCAGCTCTTTTCATAAACTCTTCATGCCTGTTGTTGTATTGTCAGAAAAAAATGAATACAGGGAAAAGGCAAACCAGGAAACTCCTGCTTGCTACATAACCACTCTATTATCCCTTTCATGCATAGCATGTTCCTCCCATTCATGCCTGCGATGTAATGAACAATAATAGATGGGTTGATACAATTATTGCAAGGATTCACTTTTGGATTCTTCTGTTTTGATGATAGGGGATGGGTTTGCAACAATGGAACTGGGAGCATAATGTTTTAAAAACTACAATTGAATCCGGTCTAAGGATATATATGTATACCTGCCAACACAGGAAATATATTCAGAGTCAATTGTGCTGGCTATTCAGCAGAATAAAGCAAAATACTAAATCCATAAAACAGGAATACCTTTATTGGCCAATCAAATGCACCAAACATCATGCAGGCTTCTGAAGCTTCTTTGGTGTCTTCATCAGGCAAAGAAGCTAAAAATCTTAAAAAATGAAAGAAATGTTGTTAAAGTCCAAGGGCTACATGATGAACAAGTTTTCAGAGTTCATGAAATTATTTTCTTCTTTTTCGAGATTGTCTCTGTCCAAGTTTGTCATCTGGATGAAAAATAATACTTTGTAGAATATGTGTAAAATATCTGTGTCTATATGGGAAGATCAAAAAAAGAAGATATACATGCACACATTCACTATTCTCTGGCTGTTTATCAAAGATGTATTTTTCTTATCAAGCTTTTAAACCATGATGATAACCGGATTGGCTTGTTGTTTTCTTTAAGAAAGCAAACTTAACTATTTTAGGATCCTGAAGATTTGCATGCAGTGTATCCAATAATTCTTTTGTACACATGTACTAATTTTGCATTTTAATTCCATGTCAGTGATACCTGCCATGAACTCCTGGGACATGTGCCTCTGCTTGCTGATCCTAAATTTGCCCAGTTTTCTCAAGAGATTGGACTGGCGTCCCTGGGAGCATCTGATGAAGATGTCCAAAAACTTGCCACTGTGAGTCACTAAATTTCATTGCATGCATTTCCTTTAGCCTCAAAAATCTGCCGTATTACTACGAAGAAAGTGCTTTTTTCAGTATACATCAGATTGCCAATACCTTCTAACCAAATAGATATGTGGTCCATTTTTTTTGCAGTTGGTTTATCCTAGTGCATGCTTGGGATCCCCAGTGTGTGGAGTTATAGTAGAAGCCCATTTTTACAAAAAAGCACAGTAGCAATCTGTCAAATAGCCTTCTCTCGGACAAATACTGGAACTGTGTAGCTCTCCAGCTTTTGCTGGTCTACACCTTGCATCAACCATAACCAGCTTAGCCAATGATGAGGAATGCTGGGCATTATGGTTCAGCAACATCTACATCTGCTATAGATTTGGAACAATGTGAATGAATAATCCTGGATTCTTTCTCACACTAACTGGAATGAGTTGTTTTTATTTGTAGAAATAGAGCTAACCACCCTCCCACCCCCACACAACATAGCATGAATTGTGAGAAGGAATCTCGCCATTTATTGCAATACTGTGGGAGATCAAAGCAGGGCAGTTCTGTCCAACATGAGTAGTGGTTTGTGTCTCCATGCGTGTCTCCTTATGTATTCCTGGAACAGAAAGCTACTAGCATGCATGAGAAATAACTGTCTCTCTTTAAGCCTGCCTGTCTTCTAGTCATTATGGATAGAAATACATTTTTCTATACAGAGAACATTTGGAAAGATGTGTGAAAAGTTATTATTTGGACTTCCTGCCCTAGAATCCTTCACACCCAGTGACCATGCTGGCTGGGTATGGATTCTGTGAGTTGTAATCAACTTTCTAAGTTTGGATTATGAACACTTACGATCTCATCGCATGGGCAAAATTGTTGGTCCAATGACAGTTTCAACTCAATTCAGGCATAGAGCCCACCGGATCCCATCACACAATGTAGATCTACTTCCGATGGGGCTCCATGCCTGAAATGAGGTGAAGCATCGTAAGACGCACCAGTGAGAACATGGGAGGCTTCCTGTGTTCCATTGAGAAGAACCAGGGGAGGCTAGGTGGAAATGCTTCCCCTTGTGGAATAAGGGGTGATGTGGGGCGATGAGTTCCCCATGCTGGATTTGCCACAGTTCATGGCGAATCCCTCCACTATCACTTGCAAGTTAGACCTCAATGTGATGAGGCCCTGACAATGCCAGTTTCCAGGTAGGTTTAGTGAAGCACCTAACAAGGTAGAAAAAACACTGACAATATGCAATTATTATATATGCCATGTAGAATTTTAGATATATTGTGATGCAAAATAAGGATAAGGGAGGCATTGTGTAAAAATCCACCAAGCAGAACTGAATACCATTTCTTCTTTCATCTCACAACCCCTTTAACTGCTTCTCCTCCATGGACATTTAATGGTTTGAAGACAATGTGTGTTTGTGGGTAGCAGAGAAACATCCAATCATGTTCTTATAGTAGTTACCTAGTTTCCCCTAAAATAAGCCATACCCATAAAATAAGCTGTAGCGGGATTTCTTAGCATTTCCACAATATAAGCCATACCCAGAAAATAAGACATAGTTATAGGTGTGGCTATGCAGCATACAAGGTCGCTCACCCTGTCAGGTCCTGGTCGTTCTATGCGTCCTGCAAGCTGAGGCATAGAGGGAGACATAGAAAGTGAAAGTAAAAGTCTCCTCAGCGAAGTGAGGAGCAGAACACTCTTCTTTAGGAATTGTGTGTCCTCAGGGGGAAGAAGTAAAGCTGTGGCTGTCGTTTTACTAAGTGCTGTGCGTCTCTCTCCCACAGCACCAACAGTTGGTGGGTCTCTCTCACTCCCCACAAACACCAGTAAAGCTTCTGCTCCTCAGCACTGACCAGCAACAGACTGTGGGTCTCTCTCACAAACACCAGGGGATAGAAGAAAAGCTTCAGCAAGCAGTCTGCTACTGAGCCTAGAGAGATGATCCCATAAATGCAGATTAGTGTACCACAGGCATGTAGCCGGGGGGGGGGGGGGCTTGAGGGGCTTCACCCCCCCCCCCAAATTCTCATGGTGGTTCACGAAAAGGCCTTACTGGTGCATTATTTAAACTGTTATGTTTATTCATATCATGATCTGATCACCATACTCAATATATCCCACATGCATGGGGGTATTGGGGTAATGATACAAAAGGTTTGCTAGGGTAGACCCTCTTTCACTCAGACTCAGCCCCCGCGAAACTCAGCCCTCCCGAACCCCCCCTGAAAAAAACTCAGCCCCCCCCCCCTGAATCGAAATCCTGGCTACGGGCTTGGTGTACCATACTTAATAAAACATAAGACATCCCCTGAAAATATGCCATAAATATAAGACAGTGTCTTATTTTCGGGAAAACATGGTAGTATGTACAGCAACAAGGCATGATCTCCCAGAAATTCTTTGAGGGTCCCAGAAAGTAATGTCATTGTTGTACTTGTACCCACAGGAACATAGCCAGACACTTCTCTGTCACTCTGCTCCTACTTTCCACCAGCCAAGAAATGATCATGTGGGTTGGATATAACAAGTAAAACAGCATTTCTGGGAGTTGTTCCTTTAATGATAAGAGTTAATATGCAGTACTTACATTGACTCATAGATAAGTCAACCCAGTTTTTTTTGGGGGGGGTCACTTGTTTAACTAACATTTCTAAAGTTATACATGAGTATACAGTAAAGTTTTTCAAACAGAACTTGCAGGATCAAATGTAGTTCCTTCACCCACAGCTGTTAGAAGTTAAGAAGCAATACTGATGCAAAATAGCACTGACTCTGCATATTCATCACATATTTTATCTGCAAAGTCGCAAAGAGAAATGCTAACTGTGTAGGCTGTGCTAGCTACTCCTCCAAGCTTTTGAAACCTTTAAAGGCACTGCACATTTCATCTCCCTGTTATCAGACCGTGTTGATTGATTGTAGAGTGTCCAGGTGAAGTGAAGGACAGGACTTCATTTTAAAGGAGCAGGAGTCCTGGAAGCAGTTGGCCATAACATGAGGTTGGAAGATAATTCTGACCTTTACAATTGTCTTTTTTTTAAAAAAAACAACAAAGGTGTCTGTTAGACTTATGCCTGCATAAATCACTAACAGGATGCCAGCCTAGATCTTTCAGCTAATTCCTTGGCAATTATAAGCAGCTTTGATGTATTCCCAGAGCTTCACATGTGTAAGAACTCACTAATTTTCTCTTGAAGAAGTGGGGAATGCTTAGTGCTTGCAATGGAGAGCCTCTCTAAGTGGATGTATAATGCATCTGGCCTTGTGGACAGGGTCCAATGGGGCTTTGCATAATAACAAACGTTCAAAAATGGATAGAGATCTATTGTACACCACTGTATGTATATCCAACAATATTGTTTAGTGCAGTGTCAGAGTCTGTGAATTTATATTTATGTAGTGGTGGTTTGCTTAACCTCCTTCTTGTATTTGTTCATCTTGGTATTTGGGTCAAAAATTACTGTCCATTATCCCAGAAATTAAGAAGGAAGCATTTTATGTATCAGCCTCTTTCTGCTTTTTTCTTTACAGCACTATCTACAAATCTCTCCAATTAAAGAAATTGCTGTCAGGCACTAATTGGCTACATTAAACTCTTTCAAGTTTTTTTCTTCTCCTTTTACTTTGAAGCTGCTTTTCAACCTCTGTCTCTAATGTATTAAAACCGGCAGCCTCCTCCTCTCTTTTTTGGTGACAATTATTGTGACATTTTAATGTAGTGCCAGGGAATGAAAGCTAAACAATTTCTGCTCTTTTTTAAAAAAAAATAAAAAAAAATTGGCCTGTGTGCAGAAAACTACAGGAATGAATTGCTTCTGAAAATGGAGAAAATTGAAGTTTTGCAAATAGTTATGGAGCTCATTTTTATAAATATAAATGATTTGGCCTTGACTGAATGATAAAAGAAGCAAATGCGATGGCAAATGTTGTCTGTTTTTTTATCTGCTTATATTTGCTTACATGTGCCTATGGAATTGTGCACCTGAGGAAATCTTTGAACATTTTCACCCACTAAGGGAAAGTTTAATAGCTTTTCTTTTGGTTATATCACCATTTTAATGACTCTGGGGCTTTTTAAAAGCTTAAACATCAGCTTTATGGTAATATTTTTCTTAGCCTTTCTTATTAATCTTTCTTCAAACATTTTAGAATTATAAAATCTTAAAATAGGAAGGGGCCATAAAGGCCATCTAGAATGGAGTACTCTTGCCATGCAGGAATCCACAACTACTATACTCTTGAAAAGATGCCTATCCACAACCTTGGTTTTTGTTGTTTTTGTGTGCCTTAAAGTAATTTCCTATTTATGTTGACTCCAAGGTGAAACTACCATGGGGATTTCTTAGCAGGATGTTTTCTGAGCCGGTTTGCAATGGCCTTCCTCTGAGGCCCCTTACACACAGCTGAATAAAACCCCACATTTTCTGCATTGAACTGGAATATAAGGCAGTGTGGACTCAGATAACCAAGTTCAAACCAGATATTGTGGGATTTCCTGCCTTGATATTCTGAAATATAGGGTTGTGTGGAAGGGCCCCCAGTTCAAATTAGATATTGTGGAATTTTCTGCCTTGATATTCTGGGTTATATGGGTGTGTGAAAGGGCCCTAAGGCTGAGAGAGTATGACTTTCCTAAGTCACCCAATGCGTTCCTGGCCAAATGGGGATTAACTCTGGTCTCCAGAGTCGAGACCCAACACTCAAACCACTACACCCCATTGGCTCTCACAACCCACAAAGATGGCAGGTTTACCATTTCTTAAGGTGATCTGTTCACTACGAAACAGCTCTTGCTATGAAAACGTTCTTTCTAATATTTAGCTGATTTTTTCCCTTTTCAGTTTGAATCTGTTGATTTGTTTTCTCGTCTCTGGAGCACCAAAAGACAAATTTACTCCAATTTCTAAATGCCAACCCTTCAGATATTTAAAGACAGACATTGTGCTACATTTCAGTATTCTCTTCTCTAGGGTAAACAATAACATCCTTTGCT